GCTCAAGGCTAGCACTCTGCCATTTGAGCCACAGTGCCACTTCTGGCTTTTTCTGCTTATGTGGTGCTGGGAATTGAACCCAGAGCTTCATGCATGCAAGGTAAGCACTCTACCACTGAGCCACTTTCCCAGCCCCTTGGTCCTTTTTTAAAAAAAGAGGAAGTGAATCATTCAAATGTTTGTTATTTATTTATTATGGTGAAAAAAAGACTAAAGGCAGATGGTTACTTTAAGAATCTTGATTTTTTTCTGACATTAAAAATTAGACTTTTCTGCAATGGACTTATACCATTAAAAGCATATGACCAGTTCTATTTACTTCGCCTTTCCCTCAGTTCTGTAGATGATCTTTGTATTCTAACACTTCACCCATTTGGAACCTTGCCCCAGTTCAAGAAGTAAGAAAACACAGCTCTCTAGAGCCAGTATTGATTGCCAAAACCCACTTCTTAGTGTCCTGCACACACACACTGGAGAATTCCACAGACTGCCACATGGAAGGTATTTATACTCCCCTTGAGAGAATTCTAGCAAGCTATGTTGGTTGGCTTCTCTCAGTAGATTAAAGTGAAGAAAAGGGATGAAGCTACTTTCAGCAGGCTCTCTGAAAGTAAGGAAAACCACAGCCAGATAGGAAGAAGGAAAACTCAAAAGCAGACATAAGGCATTATTTAATATAGGAGCACACAGCTCCCCACCTTCCTGATGACATCGTATATTGCTAACAGTACCATAAATAAGGTTGGTACTTGTGAGTCACAGAGAAAAGGGTAAAGAAGATTCAGTATATTGTATCTAAGAATATTGAAAATGATGTGATATATATATATATATATATATATATATATATATATAAAACATTCTTAGAAAGGATTGCATCAAAGGCTTAAAACAAAATTTTAAATATTCAGTAAACTTTGGAGATAAATAGAACAATTGAATATTTAAAACAATAATTTATTCAAGTTTTTTTTCACATTTTGTTTGTGTTTTGGGTTTTGATGCTGGAGATCAAACTCAAAGCACATTTTTGAGTGGCCAAATTTGGCCTCAAACCCATATGATCTGTGATCTTTAGTGAAAATATGAACTGAAATGAAAGATGTTATTTTCCTTATTAATAAAGAATGTTATTTTAGTATCACCTTATTGCCTTAGAGCTGAGTTCTAATGTGAAA